TTCAATACAGATTCAGCTGAAATGAAACAGGACAGTGATCCAAAACATCAAAACAAATAACTGTCCTCCAAAAAGGATGAATCCGAAACTGAATCAAAACTGTTTCGCACAGTTCTAATATACATGCACATGGCAACCCCTGCCTGACTGCTCCCCTCCCGCTCCCCAGCTCCCCGCAGGCTGGAACTCTGCAGAGAGCCTTTTGCAAAACTGCAAAATCCACATTTCTCTGTTAAAATGAGAAAACCATGCTTTTCTCCAGTAAAAGAGGAAATCAGCATTTTTCTCCATTTTCCCATGTGCAACCCAGATCCCTGTTTATTATGACACTTACTTGCTTGAAGGGGAGTCAGGAAGGAAGAGAAGCAGTTAGTAGGGAGGAGCCTGTGCTGCTGTGAGTGGGTAAAAAAAGCAACTGAAAGGGAAGAGCCTGCACTTATCTCCTCACTGGGACCAGTGCTTATCTCCTCTCTACTACTGGCATCCTTCAAAGGCTGTTGCAGCACCCCAGAGTGCTGCAGCACCCTGATCAAGAATTATTGATCCCCTGGGCAAGGGAATTCTGGGCAAGGGAGCAGGGAACAAGGAACCAGTAACTAGTCTTGGAGACAAGGAACCAAATTAGAGAGCAAGAAACAAAGGATAAGAAGCACCAAAGTGAGACAGAATCGGAACCTGCCTTGTTGGAGCCTTCAGAACACTGCAAAAATAAGCAGCAACCACACCCAAGCATTTTAACTGAGGCAAGACAGAGACATGTGGCAGCCAGCAGCCACTGTCCCCCAGGGAATCACTCCAGAATGGGAGGTTGTCTAACTGCCACCCTCACTCCTGACAACCAGCCAGGCAGGACAAAGATCACAAGACAGTCTTGGAACAAAGTGTTCCCAAAGTAACTAAACTAAGAGAAGATGGGATCCTTTTTGAATTCCTCTTTCCAAGTCTACATTATTTTATCTGTAAAATCTGATATTACTTCCCATAAGATTTAAAATAGAGAATGAAGGCTGCTTAGGTTAATTAGCCTGTCCTAATCAGCCTGAGGACACTATATACCACACCATTATGTTTTCCCTAATATTTTATAGATAAAATTTGCACGATACTACATACCAAGATTTTAAAAATATTTACAAGATAAGCACTTAATGATACTGACACCAGCCCGGACATTGTGGGGATTACAGAGACTT